TGATTAATTGTACATTTTTGAACATAAAATGTGTCCCTGCATCCATAGCTTCTTGTGTTTTTGGTCCACATATATTAGCCATTGAATCAAATATTCTAATGGTACGTTCTATAGCCCTATTTGCAGCTGAAAGTGATAAACTTCTCTCTTGCAACTGTAACGATAAGTCTGCAAGTTCAGATAGCCCATCATACATGATTCCTGAAATAAAAATAAAGTTAATTAAAAATATATTATTATTATTTAAAACAAAATATACTTGATTTACCTAGATTCATAATAAATTCTACTGATGTTAGTATACGTTTTAGGCCCACATATTTAGATCTTTCTTTTGAGTATCTTTCTATATCAATAGCTGCTTTAGAAAAATGATCAGATAGTGACACATAATTATTCCAAACTGCTTTTAATGTTTTTTCACTAGAAGCAACCCATCTAATTGTGAAGATTTTACCAATATGTAAGAGTTTCATTTCTAATGAAGCAGCACACTCACTAAGTTCATGCATGTTTTTGGGTGATTGATGATACAATGCATATATTTTTTCTATGAATGACTGGAAATGATTTGTTCCTTGAACTTCTTTTAATGTATCAGATACTGCTAATTCTAGTCGATGGTTGCAGCAATGCCAAATTAAAATGTTAGGATATATGCTTTGTAGCTGAACACCAACACCGGACAATCTACCCAACATATTTGAAGCACCGTCGCTCACGAAAGCTATCAAATTTTCTTTTAAAAAATCGTCCGTTAACCCATGTGCATAAAGATCAGTTAAAATAGCAGTTTTTATAAAATTAGCAGATGTACTTTGAACTTCAATAATATTAAAAAAGTATGTAATCACATCATTGTTATTGTATACAGCAGATCTCAAACAAATAACCAACATACTCTTTTGGCTTAACGTTGTAGACTCGTCAACAATGATACATATTTTTCTTTTGTTATGCAAAAGGTCAAGACATAGTTTCTTTCGCATTTCAAATGTAATATGATCAATTATATTGCTACATGCTTTATTTGTTTGAAGAATTCTCCCCATATCCAAGCCATTAATTATTTGAAGATCCACTAAATTTGGCATGTCTGTGTAAGGCCTTTGATTCTTTGCTATGGTATATGCTGTCCTGAATATTCTTTTTGTATTTTCAATGTCAATGTATGAAGTTTTTAATACTTGAGTTGGCATAATTTCCAACTTTTGTTTTTCAATTATACGTTCAGTGTGTAAATGGCTTTGAGAAGATTTATGTTTTGAAATTTTTTTTCTTAAATTTGTTTGCTGTTTCTTAATATCATCTCCAACTGGACATATTTCTCCATTCATCCATTCTTGTGAACCATGAGTGCCTTGGTGTTTTGTTAAATTAAAATTGGCCTTAGAACATATTTTGCAACCAATTTTTTTATTATTGAAAAAAATCCATGGATATTCTTCTGTAAAATACTTCACTTGTTTATCGTCCCAACAATCTGGTGATTCTGTATTTGCTAAAAAGACTTCATTTTCTGATGCTTCAGTTTCAGCAGTAATATTGCCCTAAAAATTATATATAGTTAAATATTTTAATACAAGTATGCAATAAGACATTTTAACAAACAAGCCAATTATTTAGTTTGATTTATAAAAGCATATATTTTTTAAAAACAATGCCTAATATAAAATA